GCATATTTAAAAGTTAATAATTCCATAATTTCTACCAAAGTTGCAGGGGTGCACACAAGAGGGTTTTATGGCGCAAGCTGAGTCTATGAAAGTTTTTAGGGGGGCACATTTTGACGGTTTTTTGAATTTTTGAGGAGGGAACATATCGACAGGGTTATGAATTTTCAGAATAAAAAGTTTTTAACCAGGAGACAAGGAGAAGCATGGAACGGACCACAGGATGTGTAATTGTACATTATCTGAAAAAAACTAAATTCTATTTTCTTGCACTATTTTTAAGACGAACCCAGTAATAAAATTTCTTGAGAGTGGGAGGGAGTGAGAGTTTCATGCTCCATCGACCTGGGGGGGGGGAGGGGAGTATGATATGCACCCATGGGTGTAGGACCACAAGATGCAGGAATTCTGAGTTGTTTACTATTTATAATTTTTTTATCTGATTAAAGAAACCATATCAAGTTGCAATCCTATAGTTTGCTGACGATATACGTCCATAAACTTTAGATGAAAACACAAGTAGGGTTCTAGAACTATTAAATGAAGCTATTAAAGGTTTTAAGCGGTTGCAGATTGATCATGGCATGGAAATTTCGGCAATAAAATCGGTACTTTGTCCATTCAGTAGGGAACATGGTTTTCCATTAGAGGACCAAGTGGTTTTGGAGGTAACAACTTTTTCGTGCTCTACTAGAGTCAGATTTGTAGGGATTTATTTTGATAGAAAATTGAATTGCAACAAGCACATTGAAGAAATCATTAACAAATCGGAAAAAAATTATTAATTCTCTTCGAATTATAAGTATAAACACCAATTGGAGTGCGGACCCAAATATATCTTTCTTATTGTAAAGATCTATTACAGAGATCTCCTAACTTTTTGCTTGCGGGCGACATTTGTCTCTCCACTAAGTATTGAGACCTTCACATAAATCCCGTGGGCCACGGGTTATGGTTAAAAAAAAATGTTGTCCCATAAATGACAATTCAGTTGTAAAATGAGCTTTTTAAGAGAAAAAAAACATCATGCAATAAATGATGTGGTAACCTCTTGTGTGAGCAATTTGCTAAATTTCATATTTTTTAAAATTTTACTATGTAATCAAAGAAACGTTTGAGGGTTTGGTGATTGGATATGATGACGGACCGTAGTTTGGAGACCCTTGGTCTAATAGGGCATTATTCGATTACGGGTCGGTTATATACAGTGAGGCAAACGATAGACCATTAAAAAAAATTGATGTTATACAAAATAGATGTATAAGAACATGCTTAGGTCTCCCCAAGTCCACCTTAATAGATGTATTATTAAATGAGACTGTCGAAATGCCACTATAAGTGAGAAGGCAAATAATAAACGATAAAATAATTTTTATGATTGAAGCAAGAAATGCTATTTGCTACAATAAAATTGTAAATCTATGCGTTCTAATATTAAGTAAACCTTATTAGCAGGGAAAAAAATACATACCCATTATTTACCATAGTTTTAAAAAATATCAAAAATGCTAGACCATGTTTATTCGTCTAATATACTACCTCGATTATCAGTTGACTTTGAAATGCTTTTCCAAAAATTCAATATAACAACAAACAATAAAATCAATTTTCTATCTCACTTAGCAGTATATCAGAAAATAAAAACCGTTCTTTTAGACATTTTTCCACAACAAATTTGTATCAACACAGATGAGTTTAAAATAAACAATGGAACATGTAGTGCAATATACGTACTAAAGTACAATCATTTCTCAAAGTTTAAATTACCATCAGGTTGTTCATCCTACTCATCATAATTATACGCCATTTTAGAAGCACTAAAATATATATACCAATCGAAAAAAAGTAAATTCGTAATATTAACCTACAGTTTAAGCTCCCTACAAGCAATAAATAATGATAAAAACATAAATAATAATAATAATATACTGTTGGACGTAATTAAATAAGAATACATATTTAAAAAAGAAAAACAAGTGGTGTACATATGGGTTACAACGCACATTGGGGATCTCAGAAAATGAAAAAGTCGAGAATTTGGCAAAAGAGAATAGGACACGGGGGAGACAGTGAACATTTCGGTCCCATATACTAATTTCCATTTAACCATAAAAGAAGATGGCAAGAACAATACCATCACTCTTTAACAGGCCAGCATTACAAATCAAGATTTACGAACATTTTACGCAGACCATGGTTTTTAAATAGCAAGCCTGAAAAAAGAGGAAATAAAAATATACTGTAGATCGAGATCGAATGACGGACTATGCAACAGATATTAACACCGTATAGGAGTTCCAAATTCGGCTCAATGTGTAAACTGTATAAATCGTGAAACATTGTAACATATTGTTATGGAATGCAAGGCTTAAGAATCTCATATAAGACAACTTTTGTAATCCCTAAACAATAGAAACATCACTTATAAAATAGCAACACCACTTATAAACAAATATTGTCACTGAGCAGCGGTGAACAGATAAGAAGTGCAGTAAAATATTTTAAAGCAATCAGCATAATATATTTATTTTAATATGACCAAAGAAATTCAACTCAACTTTTTATCTGGTATGGATAAATGAATGTATTTATCCAATGCCATTATAAACAAAAACAATCTGTTGCACGCAACACAAAACTTTCACTTACCTTTCTACTTTGAATAGAATTATTTTCTGGCAATGTCGGCCTATAATAAAATTTTTGAAGTGCTTTTTAAACGGAGCTAAAGCTTAAAGCTTACAGATAACAAATTATTAAGACCATTAAAATTACAAAAAGTCTATTTATTGTATCGAAGGGGGCAATAAAAATCTAGTCCTATAAACCACATAACTTCAGTCTCTGAGCCTTTCAGTTGACAGAATGACTAACTCTAATTTCAACACTTTTGATTAATATCATTTTAGTGATATTTCTAGTTGGAAAAGATATATCTATACAGACAGTGAGCAACTTGATTCCTGAGTAGGTGATTGCAATGTTAAAATATAGAACTGTGAATAAAGGTATACATTTTGCCACTAGAAACAACACTAAAATTAATAATAAAGAATGTTGAAAATGGAGTTAGTCATTCTGTCAACCGAAAGGCTCATATATGCCTAGAGAGATTTGAAAGTACATCTTAATATTTAACCTATAAATGATTATGAATTGTAGGACTATTAGTTATTAAACTGTTATTTTCCATTGTAAAGTTTACTAAAATGAAATTACGAAATTTTCATTACCCTGTCATGGATAGGTCAAAAGTTGTCACAGTAATTGGATAATGTTGGGATTACACAAAGGAAAAATTCTTCAAATTATTCACTAATTTAATTTTCTAAAGGTTAATTGATGATTGTTTTGGAATAAACGGCCGATAGATACTTAATTATTTAAATATAATATCTTACCTAGAGTTAATAGTCTATAGTAAATATATTTGAGGTCATAAACATATCCATGAAATATTTTTATATTTCACTTCTTCTTTCACACAAGTACAATGAAATAGTATTTTAAACAACGGCATTGACTTGATTCGGTAGATTTTAAATACTTTTTTTTCAATCTTAGAAAAATATTTAAAAGTTTACTTATAGTAAGAAAATTTCCTTGAAAACATGTGATTTACGTTAAGTAATGTTAGTTTTCTGACATTATTATTTATAATGATGGTTGACCGTTGATATAATATGAGAAGGAGTTAATCGGAGGGGTAGAGGGGGGGGGGGTGCGGTCAAATAAATACTAAATTAAAATATAGTAATTATTTAATTTTTGTCGACGTTTCGACCCACTTTGCAGGTCGTCTTCAAGGCTACAAAAGATACGAAACATATTGAAAATAAAAAATAAATATAAGTAGATATGAAATAAGAAGAAGTTGTCGGATACAGAAATAAAAAGATGATATCAGAGATATAGTGGGTGACAATGTAGTTAAAATATTAAATATTATATATGTAGAAGATAAAAAATAAATGGAAAATAAGTATGAATAAAAATAAAAATAAAGGAGAATATAGCATCTAAGTTAAAAGTAAACAGATTGCGATAAAAGATAAGGAATAAGTGTATAACAAACTACCCCACAGTTAGCCCATCACCATCTGTTAGCCCACAGTTATCTAATGTAATCTCTAATAGTTTGTTAATTTATTTAACTCGTTCTCATATTATTTATGATGTTTTTGCCACTACCCTTTACTTTCTACAACTTTCTATATTAGATATTGTTTTTCCTAAAATTCTTCGCTTGCCAACGGTATATTATACGTATACCTTCTGACTGGTACTTCTGGAGATTCATTTTCGACCTGGATAAGCATTTTTATTTTTTTTCTCCTTTATTCAATTATCAAATTCTTTCAAAACTTATATTTAGCATTTTTTTTTGTAACTCTGAATAAATTGAGATGATTATTTTTTTTAAATAAACCATATTAAAGGTACTTTAGAGCAAGAAGTATATAAACATTGGCCATTTAAGCCCAGTAAAGTGACATCAATGGGGATAAGACCTGATTGATATTAAAGAACTCTTCATTATACAATGATATACCGAGTTCAATCAAAATTGTTAGAGCCGTTTTTGAGAAAAATGTGTTTCAGCGTTGATATAAAGTGGCACTTCCGGTTAGCCGATTTTAAGGAAAAATTTGCTGTCACGTGTAAGGCATATACCTATCTCAAATACGTAATATCAGTTTTGTACAACTTTTCGTTTTTGAGCTAGACTGCTTGGTTATTTGGACTCAGGAGACCTCAAAACATGTATTTCCGTTGAAGATTCAGATTCGAAAATTTTCGCGATCGCAAAACTTGCCCTTACTATATATTTCATATACAGGTAAGTGAAAGTAAAAATCATGGTAATTGAGAAATCTAAAATTGTATTTTATAGGTATTAAAAGTCTCACGATATTTATATTCTATTTTGTTATATAAAATACATACAATTATAAATCTCATTGTTATCTCTGTTTACAATAACTTATTAATATTGCACTCACAAATTTAGATGGATTCGCGTTTTCATTCACTTTGGACATGAGGGTCTTTGCAAGGATTGCTGCATCTTCACCCTCAGTAGTGGTAAACGGTGGGCCAGACCCACCTACCGTACACTCCCCCACATACCTATAAATTTCATATCTTTGTGTTCTTTGTAACAATTTATTGAAAAAAAGCCAATGGTCCCACAAAAAAAAAGTGAACGCACTGTTCCAAAATGGCGTCCAATATGGGTGATTGAGAACTTTGACTTGAGTTCGTTTTTCGGTCACTGACATTCAACATTTGACTTAATTTCGTCATAATTGGCATTTTATTAAAGCTGAATAGGTAGAAAATAATGAAACATGAAAAATATTAAAAAATAATTGGTTTAGGTAATAAAAACACTGGTAAAGTCAATTTATTCAATTCGTTCAAACATATGTTAAAAATCAAGCGTCGTTTGTAAATAAACGGCCACAATAACGAAAAATGTGTTGAAATAAAACATACGGAAAATAAATCTATCTTTCTAAATCAGTGATTAATTTTTAAAATAACAGAAACAGTTGCTTAGAAAATTCATACAATCAGCGGAAAAAGCGGTTGTTGTGTAAGCGCCTAATCTTCTTCCTCAGTACCCGTAAATGGCATAATTATAGGGCTATCTATAATAACGTTTTTGGTATAACTTTTGTTCGTTTGTCTAATAATATGTGTAGCCTAACTTAAATCCAGTTATTTAATGAAGTTGAAAAAATATTAAAATAATCTTGTTAGTTGATTTTTTTTTCTACTTTATTAAATAACTGGATTTATAGTATGTCTACACAGAGTGCTATTGTGTTTTGGTAAGTGAAGAGGAATCGGCAAAGATATGGCGCCGACGGCTGTTTCTGTAGATTTTAGTTTCTAATATTTATATATCTCCTTTAGTTCATAAAAACTTTGTTTTCATTATTTAAAATTTTTTATTAATAAACTGGTGATCAAAAAAACAGGCGCACCTCAAATTTCATCTTAAAACGCAAATTAAAGAAATAGTTTTGATCCTGAAGTATCCTGAACAGATATATCAGAGGTCAAAGGGAATTATTATGCATTATGTATTTCGAGAATATTTCATAATTCGTTCGAGGATTAACGATAAAAGTATAAAAATAAAACGTGGACTTCATATCAGTTTGTCTCTAGTTGTCTATTCAATCACATTGGCTTGGATTTTGTGTTTTGTTTTGTTTTTTTCTTGAAAACAATATTTTATTTCTATCAAACATTTTTAAGAGTGTAAAATGAAATGTGGATTCTGTGGCAGGCGCTCAGATTACTGTGTTAATTGAGAATGGCCGAAGTGAGCGATACACGGGTTGAGTCCACATTGAGGCGGGCAGTCCAGAGTTACCACAAGATAGGAAGGTACGCTGGGGATCAAGCCATCTAAGAGCGACAGGTGCAGCTGATAGCCTCTCCATTGCTATGCAGATCCTCAGAAACTGGTACCAGACTTCAGTTGAGACTTCTCTGGGTGCGGATGTCAGCGCGCACACAGTAAGGAGAAGACTTGCTGAACTCAAAATGCACGCTAGGGTTCCCGCTTGGAGCTCTCTATTCACTGCAGCACACCGAGAAGTTTGTATTCACTTTAATTGTAAACACGCTGCGTGGACAAAGATGATTTGACCTCTGTTCTGTTTTCTGACGAGTCCAGTTCAGACCTTATGATCGGACGGACGAGTTTTATTGTGGAGCAGGCCAGGTAAGCAATGAGCTCAGTGCAATATAAGGATGAGTTCAGTTCAGAGGAGCTTCGATGATGGTTTGGGGTGGAATATGTTTAGATTCAAGTACAGACCAACATGTGTTCCGAAGGCTGACGCTCAATGCACACACGTACATCACCGATATTGCACGGGACGACCTAGACGATATTAGCGTTCGCATCTTGGAGTGGCCAACACGTAGCCCGGACTTCAATTCTATTAAGCATCTTTGTGACCAGCTTGGGACGTCCCTCCGGTTGGTCTATTTTGATGAAAAAGTCGTCCTAAAATCCCAGGCCAATACCTACCTTAAAAACGTAATTTCAGTTTCTTACGACAAACACATACTGCAGCTCGCACAAGAGCAGAACCAGAAAAAAAGAGGGAGATCACCAGGACCGTGAACAGGCCGTGAAGAGTCATGACCCAAGCTGTTCTATCCTCATTCTCGAGACGAGAAACGAAGAAAGGCTCAGGTTCAAGGAGCATATTCAGCAAGCGAGCGATAAGGTTCCTTGAGTGACCACACCCCTTTTCTGACTGACGACAAATGTTGGAGGACCCAAGCACAGTTGAATATTGTTAACAAGTTTGGCAACATTCATTCTGTTCTACGAAGCCGCATATATTTTTCCTCTTAGAGTATAGGCTCTATTAACGCCAAATACTAAGAATTTAATTGTATACGTTATGGATAAATAATTATACAACGTAGTTTTGTTACACATGAATTAATTTGTTTACGATTTGAAGCAAATTAATGATCTAAAGAAACTTACCAATCCTTTAAATTTATAGTATTTACTATCCTGAATTACGAAATAGTAGTAAGTTATGCAGCACCCGGGGATCGTATATTTGAATTTACGATTACGATTACCTTTTTTTCCCCCGTTCTTCGCTAATATTAGTTATGCAATATTTGCAACAGAATTGGTAATATTAATTGTTTCACTTTCTTGTATAGTCTTCGAGATATCCGTCCTCATAATTCACTAATTTCGAGAAGAAAAAAAAAAATGTTTTGCCTCGCATTTTTATCATTATTTGACAAAGCTATTTTCTTTATTTTTTATTTTACGAAAAAGTCATGTGGAAGAAAGTTGTTAAACATTATGTTCTTTTCAAAAATATTACTTCATCATTCTATCTTCAACAATTCAAAAGCTAGATATATTATAAATATATAAACTTGGTTAAACTATTCCTAAACTTAGGGATTTTCCAAACACAAGAGAACGGTTTTCATGAGCACAGAAGCCGACTCAGCTAACGAAACAGAGTTGATTCAAAATAATTTGAAACAAATTATTATCAAAAACTATTCATTGTACAAAGTTTGATTAAAATTGGCTTGCCTTTATATGATAACTTCCAGAGCCCGGGGCTTAGTGCTGCAATCCCGCAATTCCCTCCCCTCTTGCTGGGCCAAAGCTTAGTTCTATTTTGACGTAGCGAAATAGTAAATATTTACTGACTTTCATATCATAATTCACCTAAGCTGATTACAGTATAATTTAGACAAGATATTTAAATACGCATTTTGTTTTATTACCGTATTATAAATGCATTTTATTATAACAATAAATTTAATTAAAAATAGGTTCATTATATTAATTTATTTTTATTGGGATAAAAATATTTTTGAGACTCAAATAATTTGTTCAAGTTAGGAATAAGAACTTTTTATCCGTTGGTCTTTATTATTATTTAATTTTGTTAAATATTAAAGTTTTTTTTTCTTCCATGTTCATGGGCATGTGGATCCAGGATTTAATTTTGGGTGCATTTTTAAATTTTTTTATAACGTTAAGTGATGTTTAAGTGAGCCTTGAAGACCAAAAACACGAATATTTTTTAAGTATTTAACTTACATAACTTACATAAACAATTATGAACGAAGAATTATTTTTTTTCCATTTTGGCGGGCTTCAGCCTGAAATACAGAAGAAAATATCAATAATCATAAAAATAAATAAATAACAAAAAATCATAATATTAATTACCAGCAACTCTAAGCACTTTGGATAAGTCCGGTTAAAAAACACTTTTTTGTTTAAATAGTACATGTAATATAAGCTACTAATCTAACAAGAGTAAGATCCCAAGAGAAGAAAAAGGATTAGGTTTAACTTTAAAATATTTCAACAAGAAATATGAATCACAACCAAAGAAAGTTATGCTTATATACAACAGAAATAAGATTTGTTTTTATAAGATTTTAATAATAAACAATAATTTTAGAAATGCTCACTTGTTGTTACTTGTATATCCATATCAATTGTATTATAACTTAAAATATAATTTTATTCTAATTATTGCAAGCTTTTTAAAATTAAATATATTTTTGATAAAATGATTGAGGCTCATCTATTTTCCCATCAATTAAGGAGTAGCATGAACCAACACAACATTAATCTAAATCTGAGTTAAAAAAAAAAACCACTTTGATTTAGATAACTAATACCTGTGTTAATGAATGTTCAATTTCATAAAAACAAGCTAATCTGAATGTTTGACCTTAATCATAGACATAACCCAAACATTTACATTACCAATTTATTATACAACTACAATTTAGATAAATTTAATCCTCTCTTACCCACTCATTCTACACATTTAAGTAAAGACTGCTATTCACAGTAGCTGTAGTTAAATTCCATAGTTAAGATGCTTTGGATTGCAATTTTTCTTTTGGTATGCTTTTGAACTTTATTTATTTTCATAAATCAGTCATTGAAATTTCATGAAAATATGTCAGTTTCAAAATGAGTAACAAATAATTTTTAAATATTACAGGAATTTCTAGCAAGAACAATTGGTGCGAGTAAAGAGAGTAAGTGCTGTTGACATTTTCTCCAAACACTAGCCTATTGTAAGATCCAATACCAGCTTATCATTAGCTTATCATTTGTTTTAAAAACATTATTTTTCATCTCTCCAAATTTAAGTATTATAAAATTTAATAACACTATTTTTTTATCATTTAAAACAGCTTATGGTGTTTTGGGGAAACTAATGTCATGCGCTTATAGTACTTAAAACCTAATAATATAAAAAAATATATATTAAATTAATTATAAGAATTTTCAATGTTGTGCCTTACATACTTTGTTTCATCAGCCAATAACTATGGATCTTGCTACAGAGAATGTGATACAGTACCAATGACATGTGAATATGAGTTTAACATCACATTAGAAACTACAATGAACATGAATTGTTTAAACTGTCCTTTTGTTGCTGAAGATTGTCTAAATGAAGGATGTATAACAGCTGGAGGTAATATCAAGACAGTTACTGTGGCAAATTATATGATTCCTGGGCCTCCGATAGTGGTAAGTAAAAAAAAATTACCATATATTCTGAAAGATTAAAGGCTGAGCGATATAAGTTAATCAATCTTCAGTTTGAGAAGCAAAGTGTTTTAGTAAAATTATTGCGATGAATGCTTCATCACACTCTTTATTACTGAGCACTTTTGTGCAGGTAGCAAAATTGAATATTGATATAAGGTTTAATCAAGGGTAATTGTGAAGCCAATATATCTATTTTTTAATTATCTTAAACATATTAAAATGATTTACATCATTGTGCAAGTCAATGATGCAATTTTGAAGATTGGTATAAATATATTTATTTTTTTTTTGGGCTATAGAAAATTTATTTGCACCTGACAAATTTTTGTTCACCAGTAAATTTTTATAATGAAATTATTTTAAAAATGACTAAGCTATTTAAACAAAATATCATTGAGGTTGTGATATAGTTAAAAAAGTAATAATAATGGGAATGATGACATAATTAATTAATTAAGATTATATTATTTATCTTTATATATTATGAATGCTTATTAATAAAATAAAATTTGAAAATTTCAACATAATGCACAATTTGCAAATATTACAAATGTAAATTGTTTTTTCTAAACCAAACCTAAAACCTTTGTATGGCAATTCTATCTTAGATTACTTTTGAATTAATGGTTTTAGGAATTAATACCACTCATAGGGATCATATCAAAGGAATCAAGAGATTTTTAATGTTTGGCTTATTGATGTTTAAAGAAAAACCAAAATGTTGTCTTATCTTAAAGTAATAAGACTACTGTAATATCTATTACAACTTGATAATTGAAGGCATTTTTGTCCCAAAATAATTTTTTTTTATTCATATCGTCGTGATAATGAGCAGTCTTTGCCCTTTTTAAATTCTTATCCTACACATCAACCAATCCTTAAAAAAAAGTATTACAGAAAAAAGTATTAAATTAGTCTAATGTACTTTTTTTTTTTAAAAGAATCAACTTTATTCTGGGACAAAGTCCCTTAAGAATAACAATTTTGTACATAAAAATTGTACTACTTTTTAATAATACTAATTGTAATAATACTTTAATGATAAAAATGAAAAATCTTAAGAGTAAAAATATAAAATAAGAGATTATTAGGTATTTAACAATTATTGAAATATGTAAATAAATATAAGTTGTTACTTTAAGGATGGAAAAAACATAAACTTTTATTTGGCATAATGTTCAAGAATATAACGTAATTGTTAGTTATGAGTATTGAAATAAGGTATTCATGATTTAAAAACCTTGGACTCTATTTTTTTTAAATTTATTTAACTAACAAGTCAAGTAATTGAAGTTTGGATTATTCCAACAAATTTTTTTTTGTAGATTTAAATTTAAATAAATGCTTTTAAAAATGATATATGTTTCAATTTATTTTCTGTTTCTTTACAGGTTTGCGAAAATGATACAGTTATTGTAAATGTACAAAACATGCTTTTAACTGATACCATTTCGATTCACTGGCATGGAATCCATCAGGTGAGAGAAGCAGAAATCAGATCTAAGATAGTTTTAGTTCATAACATACTCCTTGAAACATTTTAGGAAATTATAAGGCACCAAAATGTGTTAATTTATAAAGAACTATTAATATTTTCTTAATATTAATATTTTTTTAAATTTCCTTAAGATAAATAATTTGTTATTTACTAGAGGCATCCATCTCCCCTAAGGACAATGGTGCATGATCTCCTCCTAAATATTTTTGCTATGCTTGTTATCTTAAAAATAGTGTAAGTGCAAGTAGCATTATAAAATTATTATTTATAGTTTATATGTGGTCTGTTTCATGTCTTTATCTTGCTCCCTGGTTTGAAAGATCCCTCAAATTAAGACTCTTCAGTATTATGGTTTCCTTTGAAAATTCATAACTCTGTAAAAATGTGGCACTTTCAAAAAATTTAATGTTAGAATTTGCACCATGCTGCCGCTTTTGAGCATCCTAGATAAGAATATGGATAGGATAGAGGTTACTTGGACATAAATAGCACTGGTGGGAAAATCAAGAGATAACAGGACAAGGTTGCTGGGATCCTTGAAGGTCAAGTTTTCAGATGAATCATGGAGAGCACCTACAGGCAACTACCAAATAAATCCAAATCTTACTATGATGTTAACATTGGTTTTAAGAATATATAAAATAATGTGGGGTTATCAGGTGTAAACAAGTCTAAAAGGGGGGGGGGGACTTTATCATTGTACTGCAATGAAAATTATAACATGAATGTTTTTTGATTAATTTTTTTGATCTGATAACTATTTCCATTATCTCTATAAAATATTTCAGAAACCATTTCTTTACTATTTGAGATTGTATTGGTCTATTATTTAATACTGAATATAGCTAAGTAGTTGTAGAATTTTAAAATATAATGAAAACTCTAAGTGTAGGTTCTGCAAATAAGTAAATTAATATATACTAATGTGTATTTATCCAAAAACTTAATAATATATTAATCATTAATTATCTAATTTTAGGTAGGATCATTTTTTATGGATGGATTGCCACAAATTTCTCAATATCCAATTTTTCCTCTTGACAGATTTGTTTATAATTTTACAGCCTCTCCTGCTGGAACTCATATGTGGCATAGCCATTCAAGTATGTATTTTCAAATAAATAATGCTAAATAAATACAAATTTGAATTAAAATGCACATAATTAAGTATTTTCTCCAATAACCTAAATTGAATTTATTGTAAATAACACAGTTACCTCAGGAAATTAAGACTAACATATTTTTAACATTCCAATTAAAATAAAAAAATATTTACATTTTTCATAGAAGAGAGAAACTACTAAATTTTCTGCAGGCATATTAGAATATGTTTTCAGAAGTGTCTGGTGATCAGCCACATTTAATTCCTCAAAACTTTAAATTTTGTAAGCTAGAATCTTACTTCTTTATTTATAATTTATCAGCAACAATTAATATCCTTAGATAGAAATTCTAAGAAACTCTAGGAATAATTTATTCATTATCTATTAATCAAACATGGGTTATGCTAGAACAGTGACTTGTAATTATGTATAGGTCTACCTCTTTTCTAAGGATTTGCAGGAATGTTGCACTGTTAGAACGGAAACTGTACAACTATACAGCTGTGACAACCAATCGACATCATCTACTACTGGTGCTCTAATGACTGAGCATATTGAAGCAGGGGTCCAGGTGTGCCTCATTCTGAATTCCTCTCTGGGTCAATTCAGTGTGGCAGTAGTAGTAGGATGTTCAGGGTGTCATTGTCCCACCAGCCCTACTAGTCTCCTCACCAAAACAAGAGCCAGTACCTCAATAACTCAAACCTATCCAGCCTTCAATGACTTTTCTTTATAGTTTCACTGCTCCGTATTTTACTCTAACTCATATTCAATTCATAATTACGGATAAGTAAGTCTCAGTGCTGGATGTACAGCTCAGACTGGATAAATATTAATATGCTATATCTTGCAATTAAAACTTGTATTTTCATTACAAAATGTAGCTATTGGAATGAGTTATTGTAAAATTTATTAATGTAACAAGAGGGATGAATTTATATCAGATTTCTTGATTACTATAATTTCTCCATTTTAGTTGTTTAGGATAGTAAAATCAATAAATACATACATTTTTTATTAAACTTCGTATAGAATCTGAATATTGAAATCAGGAGTCCTAATGGAGATAAAGAAGTCGCTGACTTAGAAATTCACATAATTTATCAAGTTTGTATATAAATAAATAAATCATAGGCAGTGGATAATTAACAATGAGGTGACTGAAAGTTTTCACTTACTCTGATGAGGCAAACGTGTTTCAAATATAATATGTGAGAAAACATGCAAGATTACCTACAAAATTATTACCTAAGTTTGATTCTTCAGGAATAATTAAGAGAAATTATCTTTAAATGTTTAGCATTACCTCAGCATAAGTATGGTGGGAGTTATTATTTAAAATACCCAGTATATATGTATTAATTATATATAACATAAATTAAAAGATTAATGTTCATTAATTTTTATTTTATTGATTAGGTTTCCAAGAATCTGATGGTTTATATGGAGCTTTTATCGTAAGACGCAAAGAACCTATATCAGTCAGTTCACTTTATGATTTTGATCTACCTGAACATATAATAACTGTTTGGCACTGGTATGATCGGGTAATATATCTAACTGATAATTAAACATCTTATGATCAATTAGGTTTTAGTGGAATTTACAACCACTATAACAAAAAAGTAAATAAAGAATATATATATGCAAAGAAATGTGTATTTTAGTTGCTTTGTTTCATCTACTATTTTCCCATAAAATAACGATGAAAATTCCTTAACTGGATAATTTACGTGTATGAACTTAAACATAACATTTTTGCATAAATATTTCCAAAAATTCAATAAAAAAATTGTTTCCAAGGAATCAGAGTATGCTAGTAACTACAATCCACACATTTCACCAATAGATAAAGAATTTTTAGTGTAAATATTCAGATTTTTTTTAGGCACAGACTTAGGAAATCATTTGTTATGTTTTAGTACAAAGTATAAAAATTATTTGATTAATACAATTCACGTTTTAATTAAAATAATAATAATATAAGGGCCAGTTGTTTAGTTACTTTTTTCAAGATCAATTTTTTTCTCACATTCCAGGGAGGGTCCTGGATCCATTAGTGGCATGGACGTGGTTCACTTAGGCTCTGATAATACACTTTTAGCAAGAGTATTAAAAAAGCATTTTTTTTTTAACTTTTGGGCTTGTTCTATTTGTTTAGCTCTAAACACCATATTTATTGTAATTAAGTACCTGCAAGATAGTTTCTGTTTTGTTATTCACTAATTTACCTAGTGTTGTATTGGACTTATTTTTATCAGTTCTCAATTGGAAATAACCGACAAAAAAACTTATATTCATAAGTAATTAGTAGGAAATTTAATCAAGGTGGGTGATACAATTGCATTTTTATTTAAAAAATTATAATATTTGGTGTGAATATCAGTATCATCTTTAAAATATGCCATGAGTTCCTTAGACTCATTAATAAAGCTAATTTTAATGATCTTGCTCTCTGAAAAAGTTTTTCCTTAGACTAATTACTTAAAAGATTTTTGTTATATTTATTTCTTCGAAATAGACATAAAATCAGATTACGTTTTTGATATGGTTTAATTAAAATATTTAAGATGCAGTAAGTAATGAAAAAAGTTATTTTTTTCCATTCAACATATTTCTATTTGTTGTCAGCCTACAACGGATGTCTTGACTTCAATATTACATAGAAATGGTTCTGTTAATGGATATGGACTTCTGATAAATGGAAAAGGAGGTCATGTAAAGTTTCACATAAATAATACGATTATAACAACACCAAGAGAACAGTTCAATGTTAAGAAGGTAATATTTGTTTGCCTTATTTGAGAAATAATTAGAAACATCCTATGGTTGACTAATTAATAATTTGTAACTCCAAAATTTTAGGGTTTCAGGTACAGATTTCGATTGATTCATAACAGTGCTATATATTGTCCCATCCAAATGTCAATAGATAAGCATACGATGAAAGTGATAGCAAGTGAAACATCATTCATTGAGCCTTTGGAAGGTAATTAGAATTCTGCATTTGGTAATGAAGTAAAGTAATAAAACAAGTTCTGCTACATAATATTATATTTTTTTGTTTGTGAACTTCATATCTTATTCACACTTGTCATAGATGAAAGGGAAATTCAGCAAATATGATGATAATGTAATAGTTATGGCATGCAAAGTATGGAGAAGAAGCACCTCTTCCCACTCTCGATTTGACCCCTATAATTCATGAAATGAGATTTCTCATCATATAACTTTTAAGTCCCCTCATGATGGTCATGTCAGCCATAACCATATATTTTAAGAAGAAAATTCTTTTTACAGAAGTGCTTTTCGAAATAGATAAATCATTCATCAACTTGTTGTTATTGTGTGACAACAACATAACAACTCGGTGAATTTTATTAAGAAAATGAATGGGATTGAAAATGTATTGTTGTGAATAGAGTTGCCTATATTATATTATGAAGTTTCTGTTATTAGTATTAAAATTTTAGATTGAAAATATTGTAGTTTTTGTAAGAGTTTCTTATTTGCTGAACCATTAATCGGTGTGGTCTATGCTTGTATGGGTTTAAGTAGGTGTATATATATTTCTGTCTCATTTTCAGTTTGAAAAAAGAGAGTACAGTAATTTGTTAACAAACTTTCTCTTCATAATATGAAGTTACCCCATATTGGCCTCCATCAACTGCTTAAATTAATGATTACTAATTGTTTTAATATATTATTTTAAAAATAATGAAATTAAATTTAATTCTTGTTTATTTGTATTCCAGTTGACACCTTAATGGTTGGAGCAGGGGACAGATTTGATTTTGTACTGAAAACATTTGAAAACGAGGGTTGCTACACAATGAGATTTAGAGCAATAGGAGATTGTGGAGAAGATAAAACTAAAGTTAATGAGATTGCATTTCTTTGCTATGATAACAGTTCCTTGCCTTCATTCTATACTCATTCTTATGGGGAAGCAGACAGGAATGGGATAGTAAGTTATTCTTGTTTGGTACATTTTGTTTGATAAATCAATGGTCATTTAATATTTTTTTTTTATGAACCACAGTAAAAACTATGGTGAAAATTTTATTATTTTGTTTAATAGCTCCTCAATCCAAATGAAGTTGCAACTTATGATTATTCAAACAAGTCTCTGGTTTTCCTTACCGACTTGAATTCCACTGAAAATGAACAAAATATTTTTTCTGGAGAACCAAATGTTACCCTTTATGTCCAAATCCATTCTAGAAACTATGGTAAAATTCATTTTTTTTTTTAAATATAAATATTTGGACTAGTTATAGTATGCTAATGAATATTTAAATTTCAGATAGTGCTAGATTTCCTGGTGCTTGGCATCAGTTTGATAACATCAGCTTTATGTATCCTGGTGTATCATTTTTGGAAAATAAGTTTGAAAGCCCAGAAGTATGTACACGTGAAAATAAAGACAAATTTTGTCAGGATGATTTCTGTAAATGTACTTATTTACAGAAACTACCAAAAGATTCTCTAGTTGAAATTGTTTTTGTTGATATTAGTAAGTTTTTTTCAATAAATTATTCAATCTCTAAATAAATTATTCCGTCTTAAAAAACTATAAAATATATTTTACCATTATAATTTTAAAAATTTAGCATTCAAATGTTGTGTTACTAGTAGGGTTCAGGTTTTTAGGATTTCTCCTATTTTTTTTCTGCTGTTTATGAGGAAACAGAATACTGTTTTATGCCAATCATGAGAAGTAGATTTAAAATGCAAAAGTCTGTAGAATCTTTTTTGATATATTTTGCAATTTTCCACTAAAATGGATTTATTTTTCAATATTGCATTAAAATACATCTTGTTTAAAATTTTACACTGTCTCCTCCCCATTACTGAATTTCTTGATAATGTAGCTTCTGTTTAATACTACTACATATTTAATAAAAAAGTAAATTAGTCATTAATAATCCAATTGGGACTGAATATTTTATCATATTTTTATTTTTAACTAAAATGACATTAACTATGTTACAATTGACTTCAGAAATAATTAGGGTCCAATAGAATTTGGCAAATAGTGTTTCTCACAAACATATACATTTAGACAAGTTCTTAAACTCATCAATGGAAACCATTAGTACTATTCAGCGCTTTTACTTGTGATACTGGCTTAGCATTTCCATCAGCTTTTGAAGTTGACGGATATGCTGGATGTAACTCAGTGATGTTATATTTCAATTTATTTTTCATATTTATATTCAGCTTATTTTCTATCTATGCGGGCAAGTCCTAAAATTCAGCGCTGAGTTTAGCAATTTGCCTTGTTCATATCTGTTTTGAAATTAAACAATTGAATAAGTAGGTATTTCTTTATAATTTTTTTTTATTTATCATGTGTTTAGTAATCTTCCAAGAATGTTAATCTTCTAATGGAATCCATCAGGTCATTCCTAAATTCAGCCTTAATCACCTCCCGTCGGCGCTTCAATCAATAGGTGGAATCCCTCTATAAAATTAGCACTTAGTTTAGAAAGTTGCACCTTTTTATTATTGAGTAATGTTAAATCTTAAATTTCTAATATTTTTAAACATTATGGTTTAATGTTTTTACTAAGTTTTACCATGCTCATTCATGTTTAGCACTGTTCAAACAATACAAATACTATAGTATACTGTATACTATTTTTAAAAAGTGTTTTAAGATCTTTTTTAGATCTGAAAATTGATTTTTATTATCTATTCCTTGGAAAATTAATATCTTTATATTTTGGCAGTTATCAGTAATATTAATATTGAATGTCCACTATAAAATTTTACATTTGAATAATGGGAGTGCTCCATTTATGGCAAATATTTGCCAATTGTAGTAGTCTCACTATTCGGCCAATGAAACTTATTGAACATTTTGGCAAAATTATGTTTCTTTTTTATATATTGAATGCAATATATTTCACATTTTTTTTTTTTTTTGTCAGCTCTGAATAGAAATCAAGATCACCCAGTTCACTTGCATGGATACAAATTCTACATTCTCAGTATGGGACTTCTAGGAACCAATGAAACATTAGATGATATAAAATATAAGAATGAAAATGATTTAATAACAAAAAATTTGAAAAATCCTGTGTCTAAAGATACAGTTTCAGTGCCAAATAAGGGATACGCAATTGTCAGATTTTTAGCTAATAATCCAGGTAAATGTTTAAATAATTAAAACTTTACTAAATCTTAAATGATAATATAAAATTAACATTTTGACAATAAATAAAAACACTGTTTACGATTAAATATGGGTATATAGCTTTCATAGCTGAGCTGAGTTCCAACTCTTAAGTGTGATTATCTATAGGTCAAACTTAAACTTCCTTGAGTTTAAGGAACTAGGCTCATTCCAACTAAATACTTGGGAATGAACCATCTTAACTGCCTCTGTTTTGGGCTTCTTCATTGTTCTCAGATGATTTTTATCTGTTTAAGAAGGTTTTATTTCCTATGGGTCATGTTTAACTTTTATTATAGAATTAATGAAAGATCAGATTCGGAGAAAGTAACCAACTGACTTATAACCAATGAATAAATAAAGAAATTGCTTGGTTTGTTAGTTTTTCATATTCTATAACTAATTTAATAATTGAACAAGAAAAAAACATGAGCATAATTTTTCTTTTTATGAAAAGAAGCAGTTGTTTCATTATCCTTGATTTCACTGCCTGCCCGATAATCTGAATCATTGATTTCAAGACCAGTAACTCCTTCAGTTAACAGCCTCCTTTAGTTTTCGGAAAGCTACCTGTACATCAGCAAGAGGTCTCTCCACAATATCTAAATTATCTGCAAAATCTAATAGCCGGACAGACATTTTGGAGATGGTCATTTGGTCAAACGCCCAACTCCTGCAAGATAAACTTTTCAAGGTCCAAGTTAAAGGAAGCATGCCAGAGCATCATCCTTTGTAATAAATTTTAGGTTTAAGGGTTGATTAAGGCTAGCTTGCACTCTAATCATACATTCAACTCCATCGATTGTGGTTTTACTTAACTTTTCTGGTATACCTAGCTCTTGTATGACAGAATACAGCTTGTCTTTTTCAAGATAATCACAGACACTTTTGAAGTCTATGAACAACAATTTTTTTTTTTTTATAGAATTTGACAGAGATTAAAAATCTGATCAATAGTAAACTTTGACCAGCTTTAAACTCCTAAAATATTTTATTCAAACTTTTGTTAATAATTCTTTTAATAATATTGTCTCTATGATCTATGCCAAACTAATGATTTTACAAATTATGGCAATTATATAAAAAATAATACAGTACCACATTTTCTAATGAAATTGTAAAATTAACATTTTAATCATTTTTTTTTCTAAGGATTTTGGCTACTTCACTGTCACATAACTAATCATATGGAACTAGGAATGGCTATGATTTTGCAAATCGGATCACCTGAAGAGATTCTAACCATGTGTCATAAAGCTCAACAATGTGGCCCATGGTATAAAGGAAGCAGTGTGGAATTAAAAAACCAAAGCTTTATTTTAACCTTAGCATTTTCTATTATTGTATTTTATTTAAGTTAATAGATGTTATTTGACTTAAATAAATTTAATAAAATAAATTATTTTTCTTTTATAATTTGATAAATATAAATAAATTGTAAAAAAAGAAATATCAATTTCTCAAATGCCTTCAGAAATAATTTGCCTCTATTGCATTTCTTGTTAATGACAATAGCTATTGCAGGTATACTCACTATAGTAGCTTATCTCATGCCTATAGTTCAAACCTAAGAGAAAGATATTGCAAAAAACACATCGACGCTGTAGATCGACCTCATTACACACAACTGCAGTGATTGAAAAGACATAGAAATTTCAGAAAAGTTTACTCCATATATCTCCTTTTTTTTTTTTTTTTTTTTTTTTTTTTTTTTTTTTTTTTTTTTTTTTTTTTTTTTTTGGCGTCATAGCTGAAAAATTATATTAAATTTTAAAATGCTTGAAGTCATTCAAATTTTTGTAGAAAACATTTTTATCTAAACCTACCAGCAATCAAGCCTAGTATGTTAGTGCAATGTAAAATAGAAAAGAAATATCCATATTAACAAGATTATGAATTAATGATGGAGCACTAGCTGTAGAGGATCAAGGTGAGAAGATGTAATATTGTGCCACCATGGGCTATCTTCTCCCCGGGCTGGAAACCCCAACCTGTGTTGAGTGTGGTGCCCCAAGGACTCACTCATGTACTGGTTGAGTGCCAACAGTATTCATGCACAAGAAAGAAACTGAACATTAGTGGTACAATATAAGAAATACTAAAAGATTTGTAAATTGAATGAATGAATGAATGAAAAAATAATTTTATTCTGGGACTAGAGTCCCCTAAGGATAATAACAGAGTTACAAATTAATGAGTTAGTATGGCTTAAAATATTAAAAAATAAAAAATAATTAACTACTTATTGTTATTGCAATTGTGCAGTAGATTGAAATTAAACAGTATACAGATACAAGTAATTTTACATGTTAGCGGAAGTTTGAATATGGAGTACATGGTAGAACAGGAGTTGTTTGAAGGAATTTGTGGATGAGGATTGACATATGGAGGTAGGAAGAGAGTTCCAAAAGGAGGTAGCACGAATGAGGAAGGATTCGCTGAAGGAAGTAGTTTTATGGGAGGGGATATATAAATCTATAGATTAAGAGAGTGGATAGAGGAGCGTAGAGTAAGGAGTTCCAGGATGTGGGAAGGGTTTTTGGTTCTGCGGACTTGGAAAAGAAAAACACCAAGGAGGAATTGTTGTCGGGAAGTAGAATAAAGCCACTTCCACTCGGTCTAACAGAATGAAACATGTGAACGCCTGGAGATCCCGAAGATGTTTCTTATGAAATAGTTCATGAGTTTCTTCAGTCTGATTTTTAGCCTGGTAGATAGTCCTCCATACACCAAACAGCAGTAGTAGAAGTGGGAGACTATAAGGGATGTTACAAGGAGCTGTCTGATTTTTAGAGGAATACAATCACGGAATCTTAGGTGTTGTTTAAGGACAGTAATGGAATTTTAGGTAATCTGGGAGTTACGGTTATTCCGGGAGAGGTTCTGGTCAGAGGTTACTCCTAGGTTTTTGACTGTAGGGAAAAAATGGATAGTACGGTAATTGAGGTAAAGTACAGGAAAGTAATGAAGGGAGCTAATGAGATGTCTGGATCTGATAAGAATAGCCTTAGTTTTGTCTGCATTTAGCTTTAATTCATTTATTTCTATCTATTGATACAGTCGATATCCTCTTATAGCTTTTGGGCAGCCTCAGGCATCTCAGAAGGTTGGAATGATTGGTGAATTAAAATTGGCATAAAATCTCGAAGGGAATTTTTAAAAATAATCAAGTTTTACTATAGAGTATAAAAATACAAGAAATGACAATGCTCTGTGGTGCAGAGACATTCCTATAATAATTAAATAGTACTTTTGTTATGATGCTTTGTACTACAATAATTTCTAGTGTTTGGGATTTTTTACCGATATTTGTTATCACATTCTTAACATTTGATTTTATATATTATATTTGGTCTTTTCATGTTTTATATTTTGTCTTTGTAACTGGTATTGTAATTTTTTATTTTATTGTTGTATAATCCAAATCTTAGATTCTTATGCTTTTATTGTTATTTTGATTTTATTTCAATATTCAATACTAGAATATATTTTAAAATTTGATCCATATAATTGTTTTCATTACTAATGGTTTCTGCACTGTATTATTTTATATTATTTGGATTAATTTTTAGAAAATTCAGTAATCGTTTTAATTTTGTCATTTCTTTTTTTTTTTTATTATTACTGTTATTATTAAAATTATTTGTATTGGTGTTTAATTTGACTTTATCGTGTGTAAATATTTTTATTTAATATTTCAATTTTATTGATTTCACTAAGACCACCATGGTTCATCTAAAAGTTTCATCCCAAACATGAAACAGCTAAAAATCGAATTAATTTCAAAGACATAGAAGATAATGAAGCTTCTTCTTCTTCTTTAGTTTTCCTCTTTAGTGCCTTTCAGTGTAGAGGAGCACTAAGCCAGGAATTCCATTCTTCCCTATTTCTAGCTAGGTTCCTTGCCTGTCGAAGGTCCTTCTCCCTCGCCCTACAGTGTCGCTCAATGTAGTCAAGATAGGACATTCTAGGGCGGCCCCTAGGTCTTCTGCCATCTGGGACATATTCCATAGTCTTTAGAGGATCTCTGTGGTTGTCCATCCTGGTAACATGGCCGAACCACTTTAGCTGACGAGTTTCTAGGAGCTCTTTCACTGGGGCTATCTGCAGTTCCTGACGAATACTTTCATTGCAAACTCGGTCTTTCCTTGTTTTCCCAACCGTCCTTCGCAGAAATTTCATTTCGGCAGCTGTGATTCTACTCTCCTGTCGGTCTGTTAGTATCCAGCTCTCAGCTCCATACTAAAGTATAGGTAGATACACCGTCTTGAAGATGTGAAGCTTGAGGTCTTAGCCTACTCTCTTCCCTAAGACACTGTTATATATCTGGTAGTAAACTGTATTTGCCTTATTAATCCTGTTTGATATTTCCGCGTCTACCTTCCCAGATCCGTCTAGCACTGCACCCAGGTATGTGAAGTCTGTCACCACTTCTAATTCTTCTCCATTACAGTGTATGTGGATATCTTCCTTCTTTCTTCCGACTTGTAGGATCTTACTTTTTTTGGTATTTATAAGCATCACTTTCCATTGTAGTTCTTCATACCATTCTATAAATGCCAATTGCAACTTTTCCACTGAGTCCGTAATCAATACCACGTCGTCGGCGTAGAGGAGAAATTGTATCACTACAGGATTAAGATTCGTACGTCCCAGGAATGTCCTGTCCGTTCTCCTCTTACAGATGGATGCCACTTCATCCATGAATAACATGAACAATAATGGGCTTAGGCTGTCTCCTTGTTTCAACCCGATTCTAGCCCGTTCAGCCTGACTATTCTTTTGGGCTCTTGATATATATATTTTATCGCCTCTGTCAGATTTCTCTTTCTTCCAAATTCTTCCCACGATTTTTGTTTTGCATCTCTTATTGCTTCTTTTGTCTTGTTTCGGGCCAACACGTATGCTTGCCATTTCTCTGGAGTTTTGTCCCGACAGTATCCCTTCCACGCTGTTTTCTTTTGCAAGACTTGCACTTTCAGTTCTTTGTTCCACCATGATGTACGTTTACATTTCTTGCAAATCTTTTTCACTCCACACACTAAAGTAACTGCTTTCAGAATGCTATCCTTTATTTGAATCCATAGATTGTCCAGGCTTACATTTGCGTCTAATTCATGGAGCCAATTTCTTACCTCTGCTTCATACTCATCTCTCTTTTGAGGGTCCTGCAACTTCTCTACTTCAATTCTTGAATATGCTTTCATCTTCTGCTTTCTTTCCTTGAGCACTCGGGTATCAGCAACCAGGAGCATATGGTCACTTCCTATTTCTGCACCTCTGATTATTTTTACATCTGAAAATTATCTTCTAATGTCGCTGCTACAGATGAAATAGTCTATGACACTATTTACATTTCTCTCAGCGGCTGTAAAGGTAATTTTATGGACCAGCTTATGCGGGAAGAATGAATTCTCTAGCATAAATAATTTTCAATGCAGAAATCAATAAGGCGTTGCCCACTTTCATTTTTAATGTGTTCTCCACCATGCGGTCTGATCAATCCATGTGCTCTTAGGTGATCCTTGCATTGAAGTCTCTCATGATCACTATGCTTCTATTGCAGTTCCTAGCTTTGATAATTGTTCCTTCAAGGTCGCTATAAAACAACTCTTTATCTAGGATGTTAGCATTATTTGACGGAGCATAAACTTGTATTGAAGCCCAATTCCCAATCCTTAGATTTATATGCGCTGCAATTATGCGTGGACTTACTGCTTCTCATTCCACAACTTTCCTGTATAAATCATCCTTCAATATAAAACCTACTCCTTCTACAGCTTGGTTTCCTGGTAGGACTCCAGAGTATATCAACATTTGTCCTTTGTTCATTTCCATTTCTCCAACTCCTTTCCTTTTTACTTCTCTTAATCCCAGGATGTCCATCCTATGAGACGTCATTTCCTCAATGATCTCCACCTCCTTGCCGGTGAGTGATCTCACGTTCCATGTTCCCAAACGTATGTACTTATCCATGCCGTGTCGTTTCCTTTTAGACTTTCCAATTCCGAGGCTTGTTGCTAATTTTCTCTGAATCGATGATTCTCTCCTACGGGTGATTAGCCCAGTAGGAGAGGCCCCGTATCCTCGGGACAACTGGCCTCCTATAATGAAGCAATAAGACAAAATAGTGAAATTACAGGAAAACCCAGAAAAGTAGAGTGAAAAATACTTATGAAGACTGAAATAATGACAGATGATAAAATTATAGGGAAATCGGTAAAAACATAATATGAGAAAATATAAAGAGTGAAAAAATTTAAGTATTTGAGGTAATGGGTAAATTGCAATGGAGAGGATAGGCAATTAATGAGAATTGGGGAAGAGAAATAAAATAGATTAAGATTCGTGGAAGTAGTACATTTACAACAAAAAGAATTTATCTTGGGGCAAAATTTAGGCACTAAAAAACTGTTGTGAAATTGGTGATATTGTACGGAGCGGAAACAATAGGATTCATATACATGAAAGGGTTGTTAAACCCTTTTTTTTATTTGGGATTGGAACAGAATTAGTAAGAAATAGCCAAACTGAATATAACAAGCAAGGTTTGTGTGGCTAGAGTCGAATTTTGGAAATGTGTGCACCAAATGAGGGTTCATGAGCAATGGAAAGGAGGAGAGCAGGAAAGAAGTTGTTGGAGGAGAGGAAGGCACAGCACTCCGAGAGGATAAAGGAAAAGAAATGAAATGGCAAAAGAGACTAAATGATTTTTTTGTGGTTCAGAGTTGGCCTATATCAATAATAAAAAAAAAATACAACATAATAATGATTACTTATTTTTATCCTGAACTATCGGTGATATTGCCGTGTAGTATATGACATGTCATTATTAAATAATGAGACTGATGCTATAAAATATTTTACTTTGATTTCGTACATGTTTACATATCATCCAAAATATTTATAACTCAAATACAATATACACTCCTTCTATCTCTTCAACACTTCATGTGAATTTCCTGAAGAAAATCAAACTATGTCAGTGAATGAAGCAAATCCACAAAATAGTGGATTAAATGGAAAGAAGGAGGTATGAATTTAAAAAATAGTAAAGGGGTGAAAATGGGTTTCTGACTAGTTCTTATATTTGAAAGAAAGATTTTGCACCATAGGACACAATAAGAATGAAGGAAACCCGTGGAGAAGGCACTATAATAGAGATATATGAACTCTTTAGGGAAGCCAATGTCCTTTGATTTATAAAATATGGTAAACTGAGATGGGCATGCCACATAGCAAGGATGAATGAGGTAAGTCGAGGCTGAGGAGGAACTCATGAACAATATCCAGACTCTTTGATGCATACTAAATGGGATAGTGGCTTTACAAGATCAAGCCATCTGGCGAAGGCTCATTTCAAATCCATCTAGGGCTTTAGTACCATTAAAAGAAAAAAGAAAGAGTAAAGACCAAATTCCAATTTGAGCTAAAGAATAAATTTTATAAAAGAACGAACCAAATTTGGAATCAGGGGACCTCATGGTCTGCCAACACTGGGATGTATTAGAGTCAAGACTAAAAGAAATAACTAAAAAAGTAACAGGTATTCAAGAGAAATGGAAAGCCAATAACTGGTTGGCCAAAAAGTCCTTTTCCCTTCAAGGCAATGACTTATATTTTGCTAAACCGAATATAAATTCGTTTATCATAATATAATAGAGGAACACCAAACTGTTTTCAGAAGAGGAAGAATAACGTACGATCTTATCTTCATCCTGAAACAGGTGTTATGATTCCATGGACAGACACTGTTTTCAAAAGAGAATGACTCAGCTGGAAGTTCCTCAGAAGTTGGTGAGATGACGAAAGCATCTGAAGCCTCCAAAATTAGAAGTGGTTTGCGGCAGGGAAACGGACTGAGCTATTTAACATAGAACTGGAGAAGGTAATAAGAACATTACGTGAAAACAGAGGAGTGTAAACCTTGATAAAAATGAATCTTAAAATTATAGGATATGCAGAAAATATAGCTCTCATCGTAAGCAATCAAGAGGGCATTAAGAGACCCACTAAGACTCATATAGCTGAGAAAATAAGGATACAAGTAGAGTAAAAACAAAATAGATGATAATAGGCTGCAACAGGATCTGCATTGAAAAAAATCTATTTCGCAAGAGACAGATTCAAATATTAGGCTTCCACAATAACTTCCTTGAATATCGAATGCTCAGAAATAAGCCAGAGTATAACAAGCTCAAACAGAGCTTTTTTCGTACTTTGAAAGTATTAAAGTCCCGAAAAATCTCTAGAAATATCAAATTGAGGCGTGTATAATGCTATGATAAAAACAGTTCTGATAAATGACACTGCAAGGAGCTCTACACGGGCAGTATTATTGAGTCAATATAATTGAAGACGACATAGTGAAGGCCCCTTCACACCTGTCAATTGTATTGAAACGTTAGTTGCGATCTTGCTTTTACTAAAGAAGTACTTATCTTCTTTTCTTTTTCTGAACATTGTGATTTTATCTTATTCTAATTTCCTTGGCTATGGTATTGAAAAATAGTATTATATAATAAAAATATCGTTGGTTTATAGTAAAAGTTAACCAAGTACATTTTTATGGGGCTATAATTTTAATATAATAAAAAAATATTAAAACTGCAGATTTGGTTACTATTGGTATATAGATCCGAAGCAGCTGTTGATTTAGTAGAGACAGTTTGTTGCATTGGGAGGTTCGTTGGTTCTGAAGTTGCGCCAGTTGGATTTGTTTTCGTTGATTAGGAGTTATACTAACCGTGATAGCTTTCTTCACATTGTTGAACACAAGTTTTACCCAATGAAGAGATGGAAGCATTAAGTTGAAATATTAATTATTAAATATTACCGTACGCAATATTTTCATTTATGTTGTCTTTACTTTTAATTTTTTTTTTTACTATAAATTTAATGAATTATTTGTTTTACGTGATTTTGAGTGTTTTATTATGTTTAGATATTTGAAAAATCGTTTTTGAGGTTTCATTCTTGAAGAATAATGTCTCACTCCCAGCAAGTAGGGATAAGAATTTGTAAATTTGAATTAAGTGGAGAGAGCAACATTTATGTGTAAGTAAATTATGTTGAAGGTTTTTTAGGATTGCCTTATTATTTATAGCAATTTTCAAATCTCTTTTGTGGACTTTACCACTAAAACAGCTTTCACTAATGATGACTTGAAATAGTGATTAGTAATTCATTTTCCTAAAAATTTTTTTTCTCACTTGCATAATAGAGAAATTTTTTAATTTTTCAAATTTATAATTTTGTTTATATTTAAAAATGAACATAGGAAAATCATTGTTTTATTGGTGGCTTATCACTGGAATGAAGGTATTAACTAGATCACCAATACTGATTTACAAATACCTAAGTTAAATCCTTATTCAGTTATGTATTTCACATAATCAATATACCTTGTTGCCGATTTTGTATGATTAGTATTTAATAAAATTAATTATTTAATCTTAAACTTTTAAGTTTGGTAAATACATATAATTTCTTCATGAAATAGTGAAATAAGATTAATCACTATGTGAAATTATAACTGACAAATCCTCTACTTTTCACTAGACAAAAAAACTTTAAATTTGAATTTTAATCATATTGAGATTTTTTTTAAACCCTAAGTTCTAGCAAGTGATATACCATCGAGTAAAAAGGATTAATACTTAATTGTTGTTAATAAAATTTAGGTAGAAATATAATAATTATTTACTTACTCTTTAATTTTACTATTATTTTACTAATTCTATTTTATTTTTTATAATTATGTGAATTTACATGGAGATCTATGATATATTACTATATTTACATGTTATAGTTAAAATATTCTTTGAAGTTTATAAACATACATTTGATTTTAAAGTTACGACTGTGCAAGTTCCGAAACTAAGCACTGAGCTCATCGATAGCATCATATTGCCCAGTTATTTCTCAATGGTTTTCATTTTACAGCCAAAAACTGTTAATTAATATTACTATTCAGAATAGATCAAACCTTAGATTTTTTACCAAAAAAAATCATGAAAAAATAATTAATATATGATATTTAAACAATTTCATGAGCTCTGTCTGACAAGAGTCTGTCATAATTGATTTATGACTGAAAGAATAAAAATATATGAGCTATAAATCAACATGTAAAGTCAATTTTCTTCCAAATTTGGGATAGAAACCTTGGGAGTAAGAAGTATAAAGCCTTATCCACTGAGATAATCTATAAAAATTGATATAAAGTTGTATGGATAAATTTAATTATTCATGTTCATTGTATAAAATATTTGTTTGTATAAAGATTAAGCAATCCTGCAACTGCAACTGACAGCAGAGCATTGATTTGGCTGTAAAGTTGTCTGGTTCTTGCCCATTAATATACAGCAAAGATAATGTATTAAAGAGAATTAATTCCATCCCTTGATTTGTTGCTTGAATGATGCAAGATATTAATTTGATAGGATTGAGAAGATCCACAAATCTCCAGTCTGACGACAATTTAATAAATACAAACAAAGCATTAAAGACCTTTTCAATGAGGAGATATATATTAACGTGGGTTTATTGCCTTATACAGAACTGCTGATCTTAAATTCCTGGTGGGTCTAATGCAATTATACTGTAATTCATAGACCTATAAATAAAGAAGACATTCAGTTGGGTTGGCTGTCAGAAATGTTCTTTTTTACCAGTTATATTCAGTAATTATCCATTGTAGAAAATCTGATATTTGTTTATATGGTTATCAGCAAAGCTCTGTTCAAAAAGTTAAAATAGAAATTATGTTCATTTACTTGTAAAAACTCCAATATTTATGTATGACACAAAAAACAACTTGTTTATGAATTCAAAAAAATCAATTTTGCATATATTAACATTGACACCTGTAAAATCAAGTTAAAAGAACTCATTAATATGCGATAAGGCATAAACAAGAAAATTTAATAAGAATTGAACATAAATTACATCACAAGGACATCCAGTTGGTCAACATGTCTTGAAATAAATATCTTCTAAATAAAAGAAAAATAAACTCTTCAACATTTAAATGGAGGTTGTTTTAATGAAAATAAATTTTTCATATGAATATTGAGTACAAAATCTGGTTGTAATTGTTTTTTTGACCATATTCTGGTGCTATTTCATTATATTTATTTTCTTTTATAGATCTAATTATAATGTATTATAACTACAAACTAAAGGAAGCCATAATTTTTTTATTAAAATTATTATATGAAAGATAATATACAACTTACAAGAAGCATTGTTTTTGGTATTTTTGGAAAGAACATTTTCTCCTATCTAGGAGGGCTGCTAGGGGATTTGGAGAGATCCAAGTCAGATTACAAATCTTATTCTTTTAATGATCTAACACCAGTGTGTAAAGCTCCAAAATTTCCTAGCTTTACACACTCTAAATCTTTTATAGCATTATTAATTTTATGGATGGAATGTTTGTTGATGCTTTAACATATAGTATTTAAGTGAATCTGTTTCAGATGTCCAAGAGATGAATATTGCTGTAATATTGGCTGTTGCATTTCACCAACATTTCAGTTTTATCAACTATGGTATTACTGGTAAGTATTTCTTTTTTAAATTTATTCAAAATATTTATATGAATTCATTTTGTATTGAATAGTTGAGGGTAGTCAAAAATTTAGGAGAAGTTGTCAGACCAGTGATTAAAAATTAAATATGCTCAATATTGCTGAAGTTTTGATCACATTCATGTTAAAATAAAAGTTAAATTATTTATTAATGATAAAGGGGATTGAGATGCATCTTTTTTATTGTTCAACATTGTGTCATAAAATTTCTTTAAAATACCTTATTAGCCTGTTTTATACGCTTAATTTTCTCATATTTTAAGTAATAAAGCAAGAGTTAATTGGGATCATTGTAAATTATTACAAATATTATTGCTTTAATTGGGTCATGGCTGTTGGACATCTGTTCGATATACTCACTCAAGAAATAGACCAACCTGCTAACAGATCCTTTTCAGTTTCTGGTCAGGCTTACAAAGCAGTTTTCCTTGTCAGTGGAGGTGGATCCTTATCAACCATTGATATTTAAATAGATTATTTGCATGGAAAAAAATTTGAGCTGCAATTATCTTTATATGATAAAGAATGTACAGTGATGGAAAAAAGTATTTGCACAACACGTTTTTATGAATAAAGTAGTTCAAGGAAACAAAAAACTTCGCTTTCCTTTGCAAAAATGAAAAGTAAATTTATTAAAAACTGAAAAAACCTTTTTACAAAAAAATAAAAACACTTCATAATCAAACAAAATAACTAAAACAATAAAAGTGCTTGGAAAAAATTATTTGCACACTTACACATTTACAATTTTATTTTAAATTTTAATAGTTTTAATATTTTGTAAATAGACCATTTGCGTCAATAATTGCTTGTAGACGTCTGGGCATTGAATGCACTAGGTTTTTAATTAAATCTACGTTTATTTGTTCCCATTCTTGAACAAGAAGTTGTTTAAGGTTATGTCCACTAGTGATATTTTATATTAGTGGTGTTTTCTTTCATTTTGGTCAAGAGTGTGTCATAAATTTTCAATGATATTTATATCTGGTGACTGAGGAAGAGTGTGGAGCTGTCTTGGAACATTAAATATTAACCACTCCTTTGTTCTCCTCGCAGTATGTTTTGGATCGTTGTCCTGCTGGAAATAGTACTGATCCTGGATTCCCATTTTTTCAGCACTAACACGCAAATTACGTTGCAAAATGTTCACATAGCCTTCTGCATTTAAAATGCCTTCGGTGCTCACAAGATTTCCCACACCATGGTAGGAAACACCCCTCCAAACCATAACATGTCCTCCACCATGCTTTACAGTTGTTAAAACATTTTGCTTCTTTAGGGTTTCGTTACGATGTCGCCATATCGTCCTTCGACCATCTGTCAGAAAAAATGACATTTTCACAAAAGCTTAAGGGTTTCTGTACGTAGTGCCTAGCAAAAGCAAGGCGCTTTTAGCGATTCATTTCACTGATGTATGGCTTCTTTCTTGGAACTCTACCATGGAGCTCTTCCGGATTCAGGGCATATCTAATTGTTCTGCTAGTAATCTGAACTCCAGACATTGATTGGACCATAGTAGCCAGCTCCTGAGAACTTATCACAGGATTTTTAAGAGCTTCTTTTCTGATTTTCCTCTTCAGCCTGGGAGTTAACTTTTTTGGACGCCCTTTACGCTCACTGTTTTCAGTTGAACCATGTTCTTCGTACCTTTTTATAACGTATCTCACTGTAGAAAAATCTACACTTAAATCGGCAATTTTGCCGTTGTTTTTTGCTGACTCCTCAGTGAAACAATTTTTTCGTGAGTTGCGGAACACAGTTCACTTGTCTTTGGCATGATAATTGTCTATTGACTAAAGGAAACTGATTGAAAGATTAGAGAGTACTGGTAATAAACGATTAGAGATAAATTAGTAAACAAACCTATGACCTATGGACACAGGAGGATTAATGCCAAAGTATACAGAGCTTGTGAGTCATAGTGTGCAAATACTTTTTTCCAAGCACTTTTGTTTTAAATTTTTTTGTTTCATTATGGAGTGTTGTCATTTTTTTCCAAAAGGTTTTTCTCAGTTTTTAACAAATGTACTTTTCATTTTTGCAGAGGAAAGCGAAGTTTTTTGGTTCCTTGAACTCATTTATTCATAAAAACATGATGTGCAAATACTTTTTTCCATCACTGTATATATGATTGAGACTGTGTCTTTTTAAAGTAGTAGAAAAGGTTCATCAAATTTCGATAATAACTAGTGCATTGGAGAATTATGGTGGGGATTAGAGTGAGAGTACTGGACCTTTGTGAACTCTTGGAATTTGCTATAACCATTAATGTGCATATATATATTGTGTGTGTGTGTAAAGATTTAATTTTAATTATGATATGATCAGGAAGATCAAAGACATTTAAATATTAGGTACTTGTTCAATAGCGGGTAACGTCCAAACCTCCTTTGTTATCTGATATTATTTCACATAACCTTCCTTATCTCCTCTAACCTAAGTTATTCCCTTGTTTATTTTTTGTTCCTTGTGTAAGCTGTGAGTTAGTCTTATTTAATTATGGATGTTGTCACATTGTGGGAATTGCAGTCTTCAGAAGAATAGGCTATCAAATATTTTCAAGGCGCTGGGATAATTTCAAAGGTGAAATATTGTGATGAACATCATCAAATGAAGTTCGATGGGAAGATTAAATGGAGATGCTTTCGTAGTTGTAACCAAACTGTTTCTATAAGGAAAGAAACGTGGTTAGAGGAGTCATCATGATCAACGCCATCCTCACTATTTTAAATACCATAAAACTATTTTCCCTACTAAAATAAATTGAGTTAAAATAAAATTGTTCATATTTTGTTTATAGTGTTTATATCCTTTCTTTTATATGTACATATGTTGTTTATAGTGTTTCTTTTATGTGTACATATGCTGTTTACGTGGTTTTTAATTATTTCATTTATTTTTATATATATATTGCAATGTTTTCGTAATGTTTTTTAATTATATATGTTTAATGTTTTGGTCTATTTAATATATATCTTGTAAAATAAAATTATTTTTTTATTATTACATTTGTTTTTGTTTTTGTTCACAATTTCAATAATATCAATACAATATAATAGTATGAATATGAATATATAATATTATAATATAATACAATGAATATGAATAACGAAGATATCTGTGGCTTATCAGAGTTATCAGTGTTGAGGATATAAACATTGGCAGATAGCAGTCGGACTCTATCCGCTATTGAACAAGTACCAAATATTATTATAAGGTTTCCTCTTGAAATTTCTATTGCTTTTATTGCTCGATAAACTACCCTTAATTTTAATGGAATCAAGTATTTGTTTGGTCATTATCATTTGGGGATGTATGTTGGATAAATGCTCCAGTAGCTGACATGCTTAAGGAAATTTCTTTGAACTTTTACGAGTAAAAACTTGAATATTGATGTTATTATATTTTTCATGGATTCATCTTATAGAACTATTTCTCACCTAATCAAGACATATTTAAAATCCACAAAACATTTGTCTAAATTTTAAAAAATTGAAAATTAATAGAATAGTGTTGTTATACCAATAGCTGACACTGTTTGATTTGAAATGTTCCTACAGCTGACAGAGATTAGAAAAAGGATGCAATTAAGGGAAATTTCATATTCTTCACTTTAAGATTACCAAGAATTATCTTTAATCTATAATTATCTATAATCTATAGAATTATCAATAATCTAAAGAATTATCTTGCATTTCCAGACTTAAATTTATCAATAAATGCTTGTCACTGTCAAGAATCTGTTTTTGACAATAGGAAAACCTATTTTTGTATTACAATACAGTAGTGAATGGTCCTATTTTTAAGAACCATTAAATTGAGTATATCTCTTTGAATTTATGAGAGTACAAGCCTGTCAACTACTGGCAAAAGTCCCCATGATAAGGCTCCAATAGCTGACACCCCTAAATATTCTATCCTTCATCAAGATAAGTTAAAACAGACAAGACATAATTTAAAAGTCCTCCAAAAAACAATTGACTAAAAAGTTTTGGATAAATCTGAGTAGTTAAAGAGAAATAGGCAAACCTAAGGCATGGTGCCCTTACTGACAGATGGTTGTTCCTGGGGCACTAAGTGGACTGCGAGGGACCTTCCTCATTTGCTACTCATTATTTTAGTTGAGATTTTCGACAAGACTAGACCTAAACTGACAAGAATACAAGCAGAAATTATATAAACTAAAACTATATGAAATTGAGGTCTAGGTGTTCCTGAAATTTTTATTCCCATTTTTCGAGGAGGGTGTCAGGTATTGGTGTTTTTATCCTAATTATGAGAATTTTACATTCACATGGATTCAGGGGTTACTTAGGGTTTGGATAGGAGGTATTAAAACATATTTCTTCTATCTTAACACTAATTTTAAAAAAGTCAAGTATGAACACTATGTATTAAAACATATTTCTTCTATGTTAACACTAAGTTAAAAAAAAAAGTAGATGACTGTTATTGCTCTCTAAAATAAAATTTTGTTTCAGGTTCATGGTGTTTTTTATGTTTTTGGTATGCTCTGGAGGGCAGTGGTGGTATAGGTACGTAATGCAAGGTAGGTGTGCTAGTGCCATAGCACCACCTGCAAGGCGTGCTTCTTATCCTAGGCAAGCTCGGGTTGCGTACACGCCAGCAAGAGATACTGTTGTACTTCACCATTTGTGGAAACCTTCATATACAGGTAATTTTTTTACTTCATTAATTGATTTTAATTAATAGTGTCGATATGATGCCATTTAATAACTAGGATTTTTTCTAGCAGAGCTAAGTAAAGAAATGATAAATTAATAATTTCCTCCTTTTATGTTTCTTTAATTAAAATTTTATATCCTTTTTTTTTCAAACTTAAGATTTTTAAAAGTTAACATTGAATTAGATCAGTTAAGAAATTCTATTTCATTTACTTGGAAAATGTGGTTTCAGTAAAATAATATTAGTTTCCATAAATTATAATTTATAATTTTTTTGTCACTTTCCATTATCTTCTACACTTTTGTATGTTAGATATTGTTTTTTCTAAAATTTTCATCTTTTCAAAAATCTATTATACATATACCATATGACTATTATTAACAACGCTAATGGAAATAGTTATGCTAGGACCATTGCCAGCCACAAGCCTGGATAAAGGAGGAGGGTTGATTCATGGGCCAACTCCCCATGAATTATAAAAATCTCCCTGTTACGAACATTCAAGGATGTAGGAGAATTTCATAACACTATATAGTGGAAGCGAGAATAGGCATGAATTTGGAGTTATGTTTATGGTCACGAATTGAATAAAATCCTCAATCCTCGACTTCCAACCAATTCACGAAAGGCTATGCAAACTACGCATAAGGGCCATTAAGAGAACATTAGTTTGATTTGTAAGCATGTCCCCACAGAAGAGAAAGATATTTTTATGAGCAATTGTAAGATGCATATATTACTTGTCCCAGTTACAATATGAAAATTGTGTTGGGAGACCTTTATGCACAGGTTCATAAGGAAAAGGAGCAGAGACCTGCCATAGGAGCTCATAGCTTACACCATAGAACTAATGATAATGGATACAGAATGGTAAGCTTTGCAACTTAATAATCCATGGCTGTCATGATTAACTAAATTGGTAATTAATTATTAAGGTAATTGATTAACTAAATGGGTAAATTATTATTATTATGTTATTTTTCTCGCACTAGAGGGTTAAGAGCTGATGTGGGGGACAAGTCCAATGGCCTTCATATATTAATTTTTTTCAAGCATTTAAAATTATTTCTGGCTTTTTCAGTTATGTCGATTGCCTGTTGAGCCTCATTATTAGTTGTATTTTTTGCCAAAATAAATAAACTGTTGGACTGTATTGAATGTGCATTGATGGTGTTGGAGGTACATTTTATATTCATTTCAGAACCCATGTAGTATAATTTTGTAGGTTTCAAGGATGTCTTCAAGGTAAGCGTCCGAGGGGTAGACCGAAGTGAAGGTGGGAAGATTGCATTAAAGCGGATCTGAAGGGACTGGGTTTGGACGGTGAACGGTGGCGGGAAGTGTGTAATAAGCGATTGGTGTGTCGGCATCGAACCTTCGGGTTCGCTAAGCCTCTTATTATTATTATTATCAAGGATGTCTAATGTATTTGTATGTGTGTGTGTATATATATTTATATATATATATATATATATATATATATATATATATATATATATATATATATATATATAAATTTAAATGAAAATGCTATGTTTAATTATAGTTTTTTCCAGTAGCTCCCTTCATGTCAAATGAGTTGAGATTTGCTATGTACGGTAGTTTTCTAGACTCTCGAACCTTTTTAAATATAAATTTACATGAAATGTTGCCTTATTACTACTAAAAATCCTTATCCAGCACACCTAACTCCAAAGCTATGTGGACAATCCTCCGTAAAAAAATATCCTTAGGCAAATCCACCCAAACCCAGATTACCTCTATTTCAGCTGACATACTCAACACTCATTTTGTCTCCTGTTCATCCGATCGCTCTGTCCAAGATCCAGCTCCACCCCTCATACATCCCCCCTTTAATCCCAATCATTTTTTCTTTTCGCATATTACCCCTGACGACCTCCTTAAATCCATCTGCAAATCCCAAACCAAAGATTTCGGACCAGATAATATCCCAGTTAAATTAATTAAATCCTCACTTCCATCCATTTTCCCAGTCCTTTATCATATCTATAATTTCTCACTACAAAGCTCCACTTTTCCAAGCACCTGGAAAACCTCTCTTTTTTGTCCTCTGAACAAAATCTCTAATCACACAACCCTTACGATTTCCGTCCAATTTGCCTGTTATCTAACTTTTCCAAACCTTTAGAGCGAATAGTACAATCTCAACTATCCCAATATCTTGAACAAAATAAACATTTGAACTGCTTCCAGTCTTGTTTTAGACCAGACTACTCTACTCATTCCGCCCTCATTAAAATCTCCCATGATCTCCACACAGCCATAGATCAACAGAAACTCACCATCCTGATTCTTCTTGATTTCTCAAAAGCATTCAACTCAGTTGATCATAATATCCTCCTAACCAAACTTAAAAATATATCCTTATCAACTAGTGCCCTTAAGTGGTTCCAGTCATTACTCACCAATCGCTCCCAGTACGTTGTAGTTCCTAATAACCCTCAATCAATGTCTCTACCTCTGTCCAGAGGCGTCCCACAAGGTTCCTCATTATCCCCCACCCTCTTTTCCATCTACATCAATGACCTCCCATCCTCTATCATACACTGTCAATATCACCTATACGGCGATGACGTCCAAATTTATCTTTCCTTCAACCCGACAGATTCCTCTAATGCCATCCTAAAAGTGCAACAAGACATCAATAGAATATGTGCATGGGAAAATCTTAATAAGCTGACATTAGATACGGAGAAGACAAAAGCCATCCTGATCGGATCTCCCTCACTCCTGAAATCCATTTCAGCACCTCCTTATCTTGTTCTGAACAATTCACCTATCTCCTTCCATACCACCGTTAAAAACCTAGACGTTACCCTCGATCAAAGCCTCTCCTGGAAACCACATATCTCCCAAATTTCCCGCCGTACTATATCCCCCCTGAAACAGTTTAACCATCTACGTTATCTTCTTCCATTCAAAACCCGTCAACTCCTGGTCTCCTCTCTTGTTTTCCCCCACTTCGATTATGGCTGCATGGTGTACGGTGGACGGGAGAACTCGAAGCTAAACTTAAACGTCTAATGAATTGCTCATTCAGGTTAATCTTCGGGATCTCAAGGGATACGTATATTACCTAGTTCTACACCAAGTTGAAGTGGCTTTATCCGTCCTACCGCCATCAATACTTCCTTGCTACCTTCCTATACCAAGCCATTAGAACACGGCGACCTGCCTATATTCTACAGATCCTACAATTCAAACGCTCCTTTCAATCCCGTCCCACCAGATCCCGTGTGTCCGACCTCTATCCTCTTTCTCACCCAACTGCTGCGTTTGATAAATCCTTTTTAATACAAGTTGTCTCCCTCTGGAACATAGAGTTATACCTTCAGATATTCGACATGCAAAATCAATATCCTCTTTCAAATCTCTCCTCTTCAAACACCTACTCCATTCCCAATCCGATTGATCATGAAATGCACTTAAAAACCAAAGCTATAAAAACCTCAAAGTATGCTCAGATACTCTGATTACTTTGTGATTCATCGATTACTTAATTACTTTCTCTGTATATTTTATATTTGCACGTATTTATATCTTTTTATTACTTATAACTTTATTGTACTTCTAATCAACCTGTAAATATTAAACTGTATTTTATGGACACACCAAAATATTAATATATATTCTGTATTTGTAACTTGTTCTAAAGGGACACTAGTCCCAGAATAATAAAATTATTTTCATTCATACTAACAAGGGAACTAACAGTCACCGATTTCAACCAATTTTGTTTTCAACATTACTACATCGAAAAATTTTAGAAAAATGTCTGAGTGCTCATGCCAATGGGCCCTAGGAGAAATTACTTCTTAATGTATTAACCATTACTACAAATTACAATCGTTAAAGAGAAGAATGTAATCATTTTGGATATGACTTAGAAATTTTGTTGAACCATTAATCAATATTTAAAGCTGATAAAATTTTTACTTATAATACTTACATGGCAATGGGCCCTAGGAGAAATTACTTCTTAATGTATTAACCATTACTACAAATTACAATCGTTAAAGAGAAGAATGTAATCATTTTGGATATGACTTAGAAATTTTGTTGAACCATTAATCAATATTTAAAGCTGATAGAATTTTTACTTATAATACTTACATTTCGAGAGAACTATACGACACCTATGTATCTTAGGCCGATAAAAACCAGCAATTCCCCTATTATTGTCCTTCCATTAACCATTTTTTTTTCAAGTTGATATCACTAGCCTATAAAAAGTTAAAATATTAATAAAAATCTGATGAGAAAGTGTCGAACACTATTCATTCAATTATTTCTTTACTGTAAACCAAACAATATAGGAAATAAAACATAAACAAATAAAATTACGCTATGACAAAAAGAAAAAATTATTTCACAGCAGCCTAGTTCCTAAAAGATATAAATATTAAACATGAGATGATAGTAAGGTTAAAACTAGGGTGGCAAAGGAGGTATTTGTCTCGATAGGCAGAATTTAGAAGGCAATAAATTTTAAATGAAATGACATTTTTAGTTTAAGTAAAAATTATTTGTTTCTTTTTGATCTTTTATTAAAAATTGTGAGCTTAAACTGTATTAATATTGTCAACATATCTATTTATAGCATTGAAGTATTGGTATTCATTATCGAATAAAAATTTCAGCTAGAAAAAACTATAAAAGAAAATCTGGCTATCTGTTTTAGTTCATTAAGTTATATTATCTGACTGAAACATCTCCTATTTTAAACTTAAATTAGCTGATTATAAAATTAGTTTTAAAAATAAATTAAGTAAAAAAAAATGGGTTGCAACAATCAGGAATATGCACTCACGTTGAGAAGAATTATTTTTCCTTTCTTTTACAACACATCAAGATATTTTAGACCAATAACCACAAAAATGATACCAACTGCATGTCTACTTGTCAAATTCATTTTCATTATTAATTTTATTGCTATATTTGGATTATAAACATATGTGTGAAATGAGTTTCTAAATTACAGTCAACATGTGTATATTATACTATTTCTGAGTTAAAATCTGATTTTTTCTTGACCTTGATGCTCTAAGTAACATATGAAGGTCACATTTAGGATGACCCATTCTTCCTAGGCTAGTTAGGGTACATAACAGACTTCAAACCCAAATAAAGAAATATTTATTTCATCTCAGGAAGAAGTACTGCTTCCTCTCTTACTCTTATATTGTTTATAAAATGGCATATCTGAAACTGTTGAACAACAAGAATTGGATTTTTAATTATGGTTACAGATGTACGGCCTACGGGTGTAAACTAATTTCCTATTTAAATTGTTTGTGTATTAAATCCTTTAATACAGTTGTCCCACTCATGCTGCTGATTCCATGTTATGTTAATAAAAGATTTTTTTTCTTTTTAAAAAAGATTCTTAAGATAAAAAATTAAGATAAACTTCTTTATCGTTTTTATTTTATTTCTTTGGTTATAATTTGATTATGGAGATTGGGTTTGTACCATTTCATGTAACACGTAGAAACCTAAATCTCTAGTAATTGTTTTGTGAATCGGTGGAGTCGTCCTAAAGTTATCACAATTTTTGTGGTTATCAACAAAATTTTTCAGGTAACAAAGCTAGGTAAACATTTTGTGCAAAAAATTTTAATTTTTAGAATACCATAAACATTTGTATTTAAGGTTTTTTTCCCCTTTAATTTCTGATATTTAAAAAATATTTATAAATATGTTCATATTAAAATAATATTTCGTTTATACAAATGATATTTCAATAACCTCAATACCAAAAGTAAAAATATGCGCCTTGTAATAAATTATTCAAAAACAAAGTTGATCCATTTAATTCTACAGTTTTGCCCATAATCTTATGTTGGAATGTCATTTCCACATCCCTGCTTTTATCTACGTGGGGTCAGAAATAAATGATGAAAATAAAATGATATGGAGGTGAACAAAAGGATTATGTCTGCTAACCATGGGTATTTTTTATACTTGAAATTATTTAAATGTAAACAAGAATAATTTATTTTGAAATTCAATATTTGAGAAGCTTTGTTTTGAGACTTTGAAAATTTAAATTTCAGGGACCAACCTGTCTTCTTCAAGCCACTGTCCCAACAGTACATTCTACTCTACCTTTTCTTCTGTCATCAAAATGTTAACTGAATAATAATAGCAAGGTTTTATTATATCAATACAAACATGAAAATTTATTTTTATTATTAATTACTAATTAGGCTACATCGGTTAAATATTTTAACGCTTCCCTTTTAACACTGGTCTGCACCTTCTTTGACAGTAGTCTTCGCTTTCCCTGACAGTAGTCTTCGCTTTCCCTGACAGTAGTCTGTACCTCTTGAGGATTGCACTTCTCAGATTAAAAACTGCTGCAATAATTTCAAATCATTTTTCAGTTTTATTGCCAGTTTAATTATTCATTAACCAAATAAATGTTCTATCAAAATTTGAATTAAAATGTTTCTATGAAAGGAAGAATTTCAAGTACTAAAGAACTGAAAAATAAAAATTCCATACGCGTTGAAACAAATAAAACAGTTGAAGTTAACTTTTCATTATTCTCTGCATGTATGTATAAGGCCTTGTGTTTGAGTGTTTCATACTATTGATGTCTATGCTAGATTTATTTTTCCTTGTACCCCTAGTTTTGTAAGGACAGTTTAGAAGTCTATTGGATTATCATTATTAATCTTTACATATTTAATTATTTTTTAATTATTTTTTTTATTCATGTTCCCCCATCATAAAATTAGGCATTTCTATTGGATGACATTTAGTTGGTTAATCTTACCTAGTTATGCCATTTTAAATTTAATTGTTTGTCATCTCTAATAAACTCTTATATATCATCTTGATTAACTGTTAAGGATATTAATTATAGCCACACTATTCTTTCCAGGACCTGGCATGAATGGACCACCACCCTCCTACAGCCAAAGCGGTAGTAGTAGCTCTAGTGGTTGTAGTCTTGTTGGACCGAAACCCAGCCCTTATATGCAGCTATATGGACCTCCACCAAGCTATGAGTCAGTTATTGCTTCTGGTCCAGCTCCAGCTCCAGTCCACAATCCTCAAGTTGACGGAGGCCCCTCGCAGAACCACACTGGTGTTCAGCAAAGGAGGAGTAGTGCCTCATATCATCTTCAGCCATTGGAACTGCATCACGTCAATCCGAGCTTAGCTCAACAGCAATCAACCAGCCACAACCAGCCCATGGCCCAACAGCAGTTGAGTAGCCTGACCCTGCAACCTCCAAGTCATGCCCAGCAAGAGGCCACTCACCACTTACACCAGAATACTGTTGGCTCCACACGCGACCAGCAAGGTCCTACCTTACCAGGCCCTCAGCAGACCTCATCTTCCACAATGAGTTCTTCTCAGCTCCCATAATGGATAGCACTGAAAAGTTACCATCTTTTGTACATATCAAATAATTAACTATTTTTTTATTGTTGATAAGTGTCTGACTGTTATTTGTATAGAAAGATGGATGAAGATTTATATTATGGATTAGTCAGAAAGAATTCATATGACTTTTCTGTTTTTCGAAAAAAGTAATCTATAGCTTTGTTTTTAAAATTGAAGAAGATTATGTAATAATCTTTTTTATAAAATTCTACTAAAACTAGGATCAGTGTTGTAGTTAATCCTGCTTAAAATTGCGTTAATTAAACTTAGGAATTTGAAAAACAAATTTGACCTGTTCCAAGCCAGGGACTTAACTTAACAACACTTTAAATTTAATTAATTTCACAAAGCTCATTTTAAGAAAACAAGGAGTATATGTCTTTGATACTGTATAATTAAAGTTTGACATACTGGAAAACTTCCAGAATTAAGTTATTGTGGAGTAAGCAATTCAATAGAATTCAAAACACAGGATAGTTTTTATTATACATTAAATATATTATAACTTGTCATAAAATATAACAGAATGTATATAAGACAAGTGATTATTTTGAACTGAAAGATAGTTTTAAATAACTGTCTGAAACAATGATATTGAATGACTTCAATGGGAACTGTATGTTTGTTGGTATAGTATGAAAACTAATTTTCCATACACTATATCTTTTTCAGGTTTATTTAATTTTTTGTTTTTACTAAGAAAAAAATGTTATGACATTCCATGCAGTTAGATCTTTTTGCAATTTTGCATTCCTTCCTCAGAATTAGTTGTTTGTTGCTGAATTTAATTTTTGTGAATAATCTGTGATTGCATTATATATGATACTATTAAGGTATTGTATGAATAACTATTATTTGTAAGTTAAAAGAGTATTGTTTTTCTTATGATTCATATTTTTATAAATATTTAGTTACTTTGTGCCATCATTATTGCCTTTTTTTAATTTTTAATTTATTTTTTTAATTAGCTTAACATTATGCATTTTTGTTCGATTTTTGTTTCTAATGAAACTCATTTTCCACTCCATTGTTGGTTGTAAGAAGAAAGATTCGAACACATTTTTTGGTTATAATTTATTTCTCTTTTTGAGTGATGGAGTCATTTCAATCTTTAATGGTAAAGTGATTAAGGAGACTCACTTAAACTGTTGATTTGATATTTAAATCCTTTATTTATGAAGTATAGTTATTGATGACATCTTTTGTTTATTTTTGTTATGCATACTGGATGGTTCCTGCTTTTGTTTTAAATTTTTTTTTTTTCAGTAGAGTCTGTAGAATGTGTTGCTTTTATAAACTTGGAAGTATTCTATATACCATCCTCCGACTATGTATTAATATTTATATGTGGTAGTCTCAAGATTTTAAGTTATCTGTATTTCTTCATTTATTATATTAAAACATTACTATATTTTTGTATGTCCCACATTATATTACTGAAGTTTTTATACTAGCAAAAAAATAAAAAAATAAAAAATTTCAGTTATTTAATTGAGTTTATAAGTATCAGTTATAATATGACAGAAAACGTGATAAACAGAAAATAAATAAATAAAATTAATGCTTTATAGGTAATTGGTAATTTGAGGAAATAAATAATGTGTTTGGAATACATTTATGTCATATTTCCTTCAATTGTTCATTCCACTTTTACATTTATAATTTTTAAAATTTGAAAGTCAACTTAAGACTAGACAGTCTTTTAATAAATAAAAGGAAAAATAATTGTATGCGTGTAAAGAAACTGATAGGTTTTATGAATCCCAGTGGAACATTTTGGGCTATGACAAATTATTTATTATAAAAGTTAATTTTTTTTTTCTCAAAAGTACAAGCTTTTTCTCATTCATCTACTCTATTAAATATAAACTTATAAGTATTTTTTTTAGTACATGTTTTAATAAATACTATTAATCTACATAAAAAATATAAAAATAATTTCACTCTTGAAAAATAATATAATTCTAAACCCCACTTTGTCCAAATATATATATATATATATATATAATTTTTTTTTTGATCTAACTTGTTTAATGCTATTGAAAATTGGATTATTAGATAAAAATAAACTGGATTTTTTTTTATCTGTACTGCTTATTTAGTCGGTTACCCGTTCCTTGGTATTTTTTGAAGATTATTCTATAAGATTTGATAAAAGACTGTTTTCAAATTTTTGTTAAACTTGTTTTTATAGCTTTTGCTTTGTTGGTATTGTAATGTTCTATTTTTTCTATTCCTTAAGTTCCTGTTTGGCTATAAATTGTTAAAATATTTACTATCCAATTTTAATAATATTTTTTTACAATTTGAATTAGTCCACATTTCCATGAATTATTTTTTATTAAAATTCGCATTGATGAAATTTTTCTTTGTTTAAATCTGCGATGAAATAATTTATTTTTATATTAAAGATATGTAAATATGATATATTTTTTATTTTAACTGTTGAATCTAATTTTTTTGATTGTTTATTCACTGCTTTGCTCAACGGAATTGAGTGAAAGTATAACATAATTGATGTTATTCCCTGATGCAATATATTTCTGTTTGTAACCACTTAGGTGTAACTATAAGTTGACAGGAGTCTAGTTGTATTCTAGTCCAAACCAATGCTTTATAAATTAAAAAAAAAACATATATACTTGATTATTTTGAAAAAAATGTTGGTGATCTTTAGGATCATGTCATTATTAGATTGCTTGTTAATTTTGTATGTAGTGAATGATTGATTCTTAATGTATTTATCACTGATATAAATTTTTGGATTTTATTGATGTATTATAGATGTAGTTTTTATTAACAGCACTATTATTGTTATTATTATTGTACAAATTATTATGTATTTAGTTGATAAAATGTGACTGATTTAAGTGGTCTTGATGATGCTTTATTACGCATGTTTATTTATTTGTGATACAGAAATTTTGTTTGAAAGCGGTGATTTTATGTACCTAGTTAAAATTTAAAAATGTCTAGATCTGATTAGATATTTATATTTCGTTGTTTTTGTTTTTAAAAAGTTCTCATATCTTTTGTGTTATTGGATGTATAATGTGAATATTTAAATTTATAAAAAATCATTTAGTAAATGGAATATATTGTATTATAATTATTGACTTTATCTAAAAAGTTTATCTTATTTTCTAAGAATTATATGTATGTATATAAAGTATTGTACAAATGTATGTGTTACGCTGTCAAAACTTTAGAATTGGACAGCTGTCAATAAAAAAAAAACACTTGATTTGCTGCTATGTCTGCCGTTTCTTGATGGTTAATAAATATCCACTTATCACATACTGCCTAGAACTAAAATAGTTGGTATATATTACTAAGTTTTGGAATAATATTACAAAAATAAATAAAATGCCCTAGAATGGCTATTGTATTTTAAACAATAGAGTAATAAAACAAATAAACATTAAATGAAGAGTCTCGTCATCAAGAAAAGAACTGTATTTATACATTATTCAAGTGTACTGAATTTTTTTATCGTTTGCTCCCTACCTCCCTACCTCATTTCTGCCATGTGGTAGGAAGGAGGGATTTAGGGCATAATTTTAGAGGTTCAACCAAACCTACTCTAACAACAGCGAAAATGTAAAGATTATTTATAAAATAAATTCCAACCTGCCTTGACTGAATTTAAACCGTTATCTCAATGCATGAGCATGATAAAGTAGGTAAAGCATTAATATCCTCGGCCTCCACATCCTCTGGTTAATATACTGACTGTGGTATTTGGTTTTTAACATTATGATTAAAGATTTTTGCCTATAATTATGTTATATTACCGTGCGTTAAGATTATAACTTACTACAGCTACAATCTCTACCTGCCTGCTCTGTCTTACGCTACTGCTATCCAATGCCTCATTCTGGATTCATTGGCTACAGAGTCTGCACACCATATTTGATGCCCTCTTCCCTTCATAGCTTGCATGACGTTCCTCATACAGGTCAAGTTTCTCGTTTGTTTGCCTCTCCCAATTACCATAATCGTATGCAATATATTGTTTTAAATTTTTCTTTATTAACAATAACATGTTGATTTTACATTAAATTGGTTTTATAAACACTATATTCCAACTCTTACTATTATATTTTTTTTTTTTGCAATATTACTATGTAGCATCAATCATATCATACCATTATATTGTCATTATATTATATCATTAACATTAATAAATTAAATTATTTTCTTGCTATAAATTATGATGTTGAATCATTTTAGATTGTTTTTTTTCTTCAATTGTTCCAACATGTTAAAAGTTCTTTAGGTAATAACAAAAAAAAAAATTCATTAACATTTGGATGTAGATATGATATCAAAATTACAAGTAAGAGTTATTTTTTGTTGTTTGTAGATGGGATTTGGGAGTTACAAATTACATTAGTAATAGAGAATAAGGGCATGTTATTTGACAAATTTTTAATTTTTTCATTTCAAAAAATGTTAAAGCAAATTTTAAAAGCTTTTGTGATTGTTAGTTCCCAGTCCTCCATTCCCGCCACTGGCTAATCTTGTGAATCAGCTTTATAAGATTTGTTCCAGGATCAGTGCATAAGGAAAATTTTCTACTCTACAAATAGTTTAATTTCAGTAATATAAACAATCTTGCAAAACACAGTGGTGAGTGCAAGTGGTATTATGCATGCATTACCAATCATTTAAGAAAAAAAATTAAATTTTTCTATTGTTATAAAGATAAAAGCGTATTTAAGCTTTTTTTTTGAGATATGAAAAACGAATATCAACTTCATTTCTTACTAAAAAATAATTTTACTCTAAATATCGGGCCAGTTAGAAAAAAAATATTGGAAAGATAGTTATGAGCTGTTGTGCCCATCCCATTGGGGGTCAATGACGCTACCTCCTGCCCTTCCAATAATATTTTATTGCTCCCCATTTCATACAAGCAGAGCAAGGGGAATTAGAATTAGAAAAACCGTAGATGATCCACACACTTGCTGCGATATGTTCCACGTTTTCTCCTTGTCCCTTATTCTGAAACTTTTCATTCTGAAAATTCATAACACCGTTAAAATTTTTCCCCCTCAAAAATTAAAAAAAAAGTCAAAATATGCCCCCTCGAAAAGTTTGACGGCTCAACTTGCACCATGAAACCCCCTTCTGAGCATCCCTGATAAAGAGTATGATATTAAAACTATTGAAGTGACCAACCTAGGAATATTGGAGTATTTATTTGGTTTTCAATTTAATTCTGTCCTTTAAAGATGTGAAACATGGTCTATTTATTTAAACGAAAATTGGCACAAAGTTTTGAATAAATGCGTACAATATTTGCCGCAAAATAAAAAAAGAACTCACTGGAGAATGTGAAAGGCTCCATGATACTGAACAGCTTTTGGAATATGATCGAATTATGGAAACTATGAGCTGACTATCATGGCGACGAATCACTATAATGCTTAAGGTTGAACTGATAGGTGAATGTCCAATAAGTAGACTCTGGCTCAGAGGATAAAGTGGAAGGCATGGGTATTAGGCCAGTCAACGAAGGGGTTGTAGAGTGTATGGAGGATGGACAAGCAATTGATTTTAGGAATTTGTTGAGGAAACTTAGGAGCTAAACATTCTAAAAGTCCCCGCCCCTATCCCTTCAGCTTCATGGTGGGGGAGAGGAGCCTTAAAGGTTACTTTTTCCATGTTTTCTTATATATCTTGAAAATGAGGCGTCGCAGACGAAACATTGTCGTATAAGAAATTAAAACTGTCAAAATTTATTATTACAAAGCTGACAATATTTATTAAAAATATTCACTAACTTAAATAGCCTATTTACGAAAAAAATATTTTCGTCTCACGTTTTTTGTTAGACTTATCTTTTTAACACCACGATTTTTCGTTCTACAAGAAAATTGTCTGAAAGAAAGTTTTAGAATATAGTTTTTTCTTTAAATTTATGTATCATTTCTTAGTTTATCTTTTATGAGTTCGAAGTTCCATCAATTTTAAACATTTTGATAAATTTCTTCAATCCATTTGAGAAAATATAATTTCTTTATTTTTGAACATGACTGTTCATCTCCATTACTGTTACACATGAATGTTGTATAGTATATGTTAATGAAATGTATAAATAATATGAGAAGGAGTTGATCGGGGGGTGCGGTCAAATAAATATTAAATTAAACAAATAATAATTATTTAATTTTTGCCGACGTTTCGACCCACTTTGCAGGTCTTTATCAGAGCATAGGATGTAGCACTGCGGGAGGCAGTTGAAACACTGGCCAGTGTTTGACATAATTAATTATAGCATAATTGAAACATAATTAATTATAGCATAATTGAAACATAATTAATTATAGCAAACATGAGGTTACTACATTTGTAATTTTCTCTCTCTCTCTCCCTCTCACCCTATCTCTTTCCCTCCCTCCGTCTCACCATCTCTCCCTCTTTACAGTTCTCTCTTTAAATCCAGTTTACATTGCTTTAGTTTATCGATTAAGTCGTACATTCTTTGATCAATTTTCAAGAAAATAAATCTAATTCAATTTTTATTTGTTTCTTGATGGACATATGTAAAGATATAAAAACTTTTCTGAAATAGGTCGGAAAGTCGTATGGGTGAACACACCTGATTTTGATTATTAACATTTGGATGAAACATCGCAAATAGATTCATCTCATTATAACCTACAACTATTTTATACACGAAAACTCTTGGAATTGGGGCGTTTTTAATTTAGAGACATGCAAAATTTTTCTATTTAATTACGTACTAAAAACTCGTAAATACCTATTTGCTTTCCACTTCGATCGTAAGATAATTTGATTATAAAATCTATCAAAAAGATGGCCTACAAAAGTGTTGGGCCGTTTAGCTTATATATTGTCATTTTGACAATTTGGGGCTGCAGGTGACTATTTGACTATTTGATTAAGAGATTTTCTGTCATTAAAATGTTGAATGATCAACTCACGCTTTTTAAAAGTTGTATGTA